AGAGCTATTTGTATTAATGGGTGTTAGAGTGTCAGTTGGTTGGGAAGTTGATCTTCATTTTAGGTGGATGCAGTAGTGTAGCTCCATGTAGTTTCTTCAACTGAAATCCACACTAGTGGTGTTTGCAAGTTTCTCAGTGTCCTAAGCTGAGAGAACTTGTGGTGACAGTGGTGTGCCTTTGCTGAGATTGGCCTCACCACCCCACTTCTCTGGTTGGGGGTACACGCCTGCACGCAGTGGGTCAGCCACCTTGGGTCTGTCTAGCTGTGGTTGCAACCATAGGGATGTTACACTGTCCAGGACCACAGACAAGTTGTGGCTGCTTGGTTGGCTCAGGAGCATGTCTACTGGGGACAGCCCATGGGGCTGGTTCTCAATGTGCCCACCTATTTCGCAGGTCCTTATTGGGAGCACAGGGCCACTGGGAAGGCCCAGGGATGTGTTTGTGGTGGGGTCAGGGGAGGATGTGAGGGTGCAGGGCTGTCTCTCAGGTTCTGAGTGTGGGCACATTGCCAACTCTATTGGGTATACCAGCTGCTCAGATGCTCAGAGGCCTCTCTCACTTGCAGGAGGGCATGCAGCAGTTTGGCTGGCTCAAGGGCAGGTTCATCCTGGGCAAGACTGGAAGACTGTTGTTCCTCCTGCCGTAAGTGCAGGTGGGGGTTTGTTTCTCTGCCCTGAAAGACCAGAGTCACAGCCAATCCTGGGCCCAGACTCCTCATATCTGGGTTGTGGTGATCAATAACCCATGTGCGTTTGGCATAATGAAGATGGAGCCCCAGTGCTAGAGAAGCACAGAGGCTACTGACCTTAGAGCAAGACATACTTGAGAGGTGGCTCAGGTCTCAAGATGGCAGCATGCTGCAGCGGCTTGGTTCACAGTGGGTGAATGGGGGTGGGGAGTACACACCTTGTACTCCTAATCCAGGACAACACAGCTGCATGAATTCCCTGCAGCTCTCCAAGATGGACTCGGAGCTTAAAGGAACTATGGGATTCTTCTGTTGTAAGGACTATCGGTGTTTGCAGTGGCAATGGAGCTGGGACACAGTGAGGATCTCCTGCTTAACCTTTTCCCACATGTGAAGTCTCTCCTGACTTCAGGTATATCTGATCCAGGCAGAGTAGATGAAGCAGCAGACAACAGATACCTCCATATTACCCTCCTAGACTTCCAATCACTGCTCCTCCTTATCACACTCCAGCACTCTTCCTTCAACACTGCAGTCAAAGTCTCAGCTGTTTCCTCTGGTAGAGATGAATGCAAGGTGCCTCTAGTCAGCCATCTTGCTGACACCACTCTCAATAGCTTTATTTTGTAGATGAGCAGTGAAGACTAAGAAAGGCAGCAGCATAGTTAGATGTGTGCCTTCTCTTGATGAATCAAACTCCCTGGTTCAAATCTGCTACTTCTTAGCTATGATCTTGGGCAAAATACTTAACTCTGTAGGTCTTAGTTTCATTAACTTTAAAAATAAGCATTCCAAGAGCATCTTTCTTTGAGGTTGCTGTCAAAAGTGAGGATAAAGTTCTTAATATAGTTTCTGAAAAAATAGTTAAGTGTTCAATAAGTATTAGATATTTCAATGAGACGACTTGCACAAGGTCAGGCAGCTGGCCTAAAAGGGATGCCCAGACTATTGTGGGAGTACAAGATATTGGTTGTTTTTGCTGTGTATACCAAAGTATACTAAATATATTTAGTGATATTAATAACATCACTAAGTAATATTCTTTCCCATTTTTTGAAAAACTAATTCATAAACATACACTTGTATTTAGCATAATTTTTATTTCTCTGAATGCTCAGACTTCAATTTATGGTTTGGTTTTCTATTTGAGGAAAGCAATCTCTTCAAAAGACATACTCTAGGTGCTGCAGTGCTTTAGGGCATTATTATAAACATGGGTTTTTGGTGTACTATTGAGTCAGAAATACTGTTTAATGGAAACTACAGGTGATAGGCTGCCAAAAGAAAGTGAATTTTTACTAAACCTTGCATTCTCTGCGAATTTTTCAAGAGTGCAAAGTAAAACATTTATTCCACACCCAAAGCTCTCTCAAGAGCCAGTGATGTGGCTATATATTATTTCATTGTAATTCAAACAAGTAGTAAAGTGAAATGTCATTTGACAGCATTTTCTATTTCTTCTTTATATTACATTCAATTTATAAATATCAGACAAAAATGGATCCCATTATATGAAAAATAAGATTTTAACGACTAGTTATTTATTATGAAATAACAAAATGAAATATGCAGACACCCCTCACTTTTCATAGATTCATGAGGCTTCCTATATTCCTCATATATCTGTCATCTTAGCTTCAGGGGTAACTTGTTTTACTATTCCTTGCATGAAAAATGATAGTTGGTTTAAAAAAAAGTTTACAATAGTCAATTTTATAAGTTTTGCTCTTTCAGAGCAGAATTCAAATAAGAAATTATCAGAAAATGAGTAGAGCCCAGGAATACACACACACACACACACACACACACACACACACGCAGAGTACATTTTATGCTATCCATGTATTTAGTTAGAAGATTTGTTATGCACGTATTCCTCTTGGACTTAAGTGCTTTAGGCTGGATACCCCTCCCACCCCTCACAAAAACAGAGCCTTTAAAAAGGGTTGCATGTAGTTCATTCATTTTGAAATGTGATTCTAATGAATGGGATTGGGAAATTTGGAAAAATTAAATAAGGTAAGGCAATCTAAGATTGCATTTTTAAGCCAGTCAGTACTATAGGTAACTGACGACTCTAGTGGAGTCCTACTGGAGACCACTAAGGAACTATATGGAATGCACTTCAGAATTGTCTGCCCAAAGGACGGAAGAGGGGAGTATTTACCCACTGAATCCTGTCCCTATTGTCAATTCCCTCAAACTTCCAGGTTTGGATACATGTCAGAGTAGTTCAGCAAATTTCCAGAAATGTTCCACGTAACTGAGGTGTCAGAAAAGCACTAATACAGAAATCTCGAGATGCATGGGCAACAGCAATGGGTGAATGGAAAAATGGCCTATGAGGTTGTGAGGTGGGACTCAAAAGATATTAAATACAGTCCACTCTCTGCCTCACTCAGAGCCACTCAGGTTCCACGCTGAGTCCAATCTGTCACAGAGTCTTCAAGGAAGTGGGTAGTCATTATACAAATACTAAATGCAAAAGATTTAGTGGAACAAGTTTTAGTGGCTGCTGTAATTGATTTCAAGTCTATAATTAATAGTTATCATCTCTCTCTTCCACCACAAATTCTGTATTTCTCTCACATTTGGCCAAGCTCTTCAGTAGATTCAAGTGGCTGGAGTGGTGGAGTGACCTAGACCTTCATTCTCAAAGGATCAGAGTCCTTAGCTGCTTTACCTTGTCAGGCTGTGGTTGCTTCAGTTGCCCATTTAAGGTTATCACGACATTGAAACACCAAAGGATGCCTCAATGAAACCCCTAGCAAGGACATACTCTATCCTGCCTCCACTAATGGTTATTATTCTAGCTCTACATGGTAGCCAGGATCAGTATCTCTTCCAATATCTTGCTTCTGTTTGCCTGCTTAACAGTTGACATGAAGAATCATGATGACTATATGGTTTTCATTGCTTCAGGTACCTCAGCTGCACCTCAAGCCAGTCTACCATTCCATGAAAGTTTTAGTAACTGTGAAGTTACTTATACCAGAGGCATTATCACTAACAATGGGGTCCTTGTCACCAAGGGCTCTATGATACAATTCTAGATTCCCATTCCAATGAGACGCTTTCTAGGGCTGTGATAGGTAATCACTGACTTAGCCTGGGTTCCCCTAAAGCAAACATGGGACAGTCACTTCTACAGACATTGACTGTAGTTAAATAATTCCAGGGAAGAGAGGGGTACTAGGAAGAGCAAAACAGAAAATGATGGAAATGAAGGAAAGATCAGGCAAAAGGGTATTACCAGTTGGCCACTGTTGTGGGTAACCAGGGTGGGATCCTTTTAAGAGAACTTCTTTGGAGCTATGTGGAAGGGACCATAGAACTGTTAAACTGAGAGATGTAACAGAGAGGTATTTCTCCATCAATTCTCACTCTCCTTGGTCAAGAGTTGCCCCATGGGGTGTTTTAGTCCCTTCACATATCCAGGGTAGTTCATGTGTGAGAATGGCTAAATGGGTTCCTGCCAGTGTTCCACACAACAGAGAAAGCAGAGAAATTCTAGGGGCAGGAAGCAAGACATACATAGTGCAGCTGAGGCAACAGTTCATTGTATGCAACTGATTGCTGGAGTAGAAAACTAGGCTGAGAGGATGGGAGGTGAGTGAAAAGAGCTATGTAGGACACAGTGAAATAAATGCTCTAATCAAGCAATGTGTAAAATACTATGGGAACTTACATGGAAAAGAAGAGGCAATCCTTGGGCTCTGAGGCATGAGGAAAGGGCTGAGGGCTTACTGTAATTGCTTCATCCACTTGCTACCCTTTCTTTTTCAATATCAAATTAATTATGCTCATTGTCTTCTTCCCAAAGCCTAACATTTTAAAAAGGAGCAAAAGGAGGAAAAGAATGAGGGGAAATTAAATATTTTCTTCTGTGGCAAAAACTTTTTTAACGTTTATAAAAACTAGTTTGGAGCTAGAAATAAAAAGCATATTTCCCTTTAGACTGTGACTTACACTTTCCTGGAGCTGGGAAAAAGCATGAGAAAGCACCTGAATAAATAGGCACACTGTGTAATCTATTTAGGTGGTGAGAAGAGAAAATCTGCTTGACACTGCAGTGAACAATTCAAATCACAGCAAAGAAATGCACTTATGCATATTTTCAACAAAAGCATGATTATTCTTTCATGGTCCTAAAGTTGAAAAACAAATTTGAAATGGCTACTAAAAACACCCACTCTCAAATACAGTTTCTATAGGATATATTATTTGTATCTGACTAATAGACAAGCTTTCCAAAATTCTGTAGTTGATATGCATGTTCCTTTCAAAAGAAAATGTTTATATAATGTATTTTTGCTTGCTTGGTATTAGAAGAAAAATAAATTTCTTATCTAGATGAAAGAAAGTTAAGAGATGTTTAAAAAACACCTAAACAAATTTTAAAAAGATAAGTTAGGTTTGAGAAAGCTCACAAGCTACAACATTCAAATTCAGTATTTTATATTGTTGTGATTGTATCTACACTTGTACTTCACTTTTATCCATACTATAAATAGTTATGATTTACATCTGAAACTGTGATTCATAGTGTTTGATTTACTTCTAAAATCAAGATACTCTTCTTTTTATTTTGATAGTTTTATATGCATTTATAAAATTATTTAGGTGATTTATAAATAAATCATCCTAGGTTATTTAAAATATGTGTTTCCCGTCCAAAACAGGCAGATTGTTTCTATATGAAATTAATTAACTGCTATTGTCAGTTTTACAAATAATTTCTTAATTTATCTAAGATGCCTAACACTTTCACCACGATGTGAAGTCAGTAAGATACTTATAATACCTTTTGTAAAAGTCAGCATTTATCTTACACTAGTTCTCTTTTCAGATAGAGAACATATGTAAGAAATGAGTAAGTCAATATGCCATATTTAACCAACACTAGTGATTGTCAATGGAAAAATACAAATGCAATGTAAACTTGATGTTAATTCCATTTAATTTAGTTTATTTTATAAGAGTATTATATTAAGGAATTAATTTACATATAGCAAAATCACAAATCTAAACATACAGCATGAGGAATGTTGACAAATGTATGCAGCTACATAACCATCATCCAGATCAGAAAACAAAACATTTCAATCACCCCAGGAAATTTCCTCAGGCCCCGTTTCCAAGCAATTTGAATTCCCTGCCCTTACCCAGAGCAGCCACTGTTCTGCTGTCTGTCATCAAATGCTAGTTTTGCCTGGAAGTGGCTTTAATATAAAAGTAATTGGACAGTATGTTATGTCTGGCTTATTTTGCTCAACTTAATGTTTTTGAGATTCATACAGGTTGTTACATGTATCAGTAGTCCATTTCTTTAACGACCAGTATTCCACTGACTGCATTGCAGTTTACCCATTTTCCTATGGAAAGATATTTGACTGTTTACAGTTTTGTGTTATTGTGAATAAAGCTCCTATGAGCATTCATTTTTCTGGGGTATATATCTAGGAATGAAATGGCTGAAGCACAGGGTACTGCAGAACAGTTCTCCAGGTGGCCCTGGACAAACTCAATTGTCCACCCTTTCTCACTTGTAGTTCTCAAGAATAACTGTACTATGTGCTGGGAATGTAACATCCTGGACTAAGGGACTCTGAGAAACACTATGACTTTACAGATCAAATAATCTGTAAAGAATCATCTATTTTCATGTTAATCATATACAATTTGCAACAGATACTATACTTTCAGTGACGTCTATGAAAATATTTGTTGTTAAAATGTATGCATGATGTCTTAAAAAAAGATTGATATTTTTTTGTTTATCTTAAAAGGTATAGAGAAAAAGTGATTGGTATGGTTATCTATCATACTCCTATATATCACATTTTTCTATTAGCCATAGGTCTGATCCTGGTTGTTTCCATTCTTCTCCAAGCAGTGTGTTAAATTTGAAAGGCTTGAAGTATTCTAGGCGATGGCTAAAAGCAAAGAAAAAGAAAGTGGGAATTGAAATGAATTATGCATTTGTGAAATAGATGTCCCAAAGGGCTATTTATTTTGTCACATCTGTGATAGGACAACATTCTATTTTAAGCAATACTAAATGTAAGATATATTTTATATGCACAGTTTTCTCACTCTAGCTATCACTCAGCTCTGAAAACATTCACCTGTGTCTTAAAGCACGTTTCTTTCAATTTTGCAAATAGCTCCCTCATAGCTGAAGGGAGAAATCAACTCTCAAAACATGACTCATTCCATTCAGTTTTAAATAAATCATATTATGCTCCTGCATATGTTTTTATATTCAAACTTTGGTATAATTTATATCAGTCATATAAGCAATTGTTTTTAAAGTCTCAGTTCCATAGATAAGAAGACAGACTTCTTAATTACCTTCTCTGCCAAAGGAAGAGAGGTTAATGTAAAAGAGTGTTAATCCCAGTCCTTTTCTTTCCAGGAAAACCCTGTAACTATATCAAGAAGCTTTCTCTTGTGGCTTAATGAGGAGAGGCTTAGGTAACATGCTTCAGTGGAGCCTTACTCTGTAGGAAGTCACTCTGCCTTAGCTCTGTCCTGGCCGGTGTATAATCATACTTCCACCTAAGATAAGCTTCCAATAACGTATGAATGAGGAGCCTGAATATAGGAAGGTATTAGTTGATGAACAGCCAGAGACATGGCATCTTGATACGAGGACGTTGAGTCAGTTGCAACTACATTTTTGTCTTATTCTGCCCACCTGGTGAGGATAAATCACTTTTTGAGTCACAATTGTCAACCCCAGAGTAAGAGATTAAGGAAAAAATAGTGAAGGATAAGAAAAAGGAAGGAAAAAGGAGACTAGGTAGAAGCCGTCAGGACTGGGGAGAAAGGCAAAGGGAAAGAATGTCAGGCAAAATAAAGAAATATGCTAGAAGGGATGAAGATGAAGTGTGGAGTAAGAGCATGACAGGAAGGAGAAGGCAAACGGGGAGAGGAAGGATAATGCAGCACATTCCAAAGGTAAAAAGGCAGGAATGTTCATCTACCATAGTGCAATGCTCACTAGGATGGCTCCGTTAGGTTCTTCCAAATGCTCAGACTCACCAGACTACCTTGGCTATGGTGAGTATACATAGAGAGATACAGAGCAGGAATCACAGTTTGCCCCAGGACAGCATCTGGCTTTCCTCCCTAAAGGAGAAGTCCTTGCAGAAGTCCATAGAGCATTCATAAGGCTCTAGTCTGCCTGCGTGAGAGCTACAGGTGCAAGGAAACAAGATGCAAATTGAGAAAGCACAGCAGATACCTTGGCTCAAATGCCTGCTGCCCCATGAGAGCAATATCTCTTGGAATAACTCCATAGGCATAGCTTCCAGGGTTCCCACAGGGAAAATGACTGTTAAAAGGGAATCCCAAAGCCACACTGTCTCCATCACATGTTTATACTTCATTCAAAATTATTCTCAGTCCAGATGTAATTTACTACTTAAGGGCCATTTTTATCATAAGCAATCTTGCCTAGAAACAGAGTTGACATTTTTATTCTTATGAGGTTACCAGAAGAGGAGAACTAGAGATAACAGAAGATCAGATTTCCTTGCAACAGGGGATCCTTTGTTCACACCAGGAAACACTGATGCTTCTGGCCCTTTAGCTCTGAAAGAAGTTTTAAATGAATTTGTAACCATACTTGTGTATCAGCTGTTGCAACGGATAGTTTTCTCACATGCAACGTTTAGTTTTCTCACATGGAAACAACACTTTTCTCATACCACTATGGAAAAATAAGTGCTCTGCCGACAGTAGTGAGAGAGATTATGTCAGTCCAAAGTTCACTAAGTATTTCCTGAGGACCATCAGGAAACATTGGGCTCTAGTAGGTGCTTGTGCACATGTCGTCTTCTCTGATCAGAAGTGTTACTTCTGCTCCACTAAGAACAAATTTCCAAAAAACTCATATATTTGGAACATATATTCATTTATTTTCTACTTACAAGTCAGGTTTTTGTCCTTGTTGCAGTTCATGCTGAGGTACAGGGTAAAGAGCTTCATAACTTCGTTTATCTTTTGAACCATGAATTGCAAATGAATTGAATTTTGTCACATTTGGTGGAAAATAACTCCAAGGAAGATAATCTTTGCCTTCCCATTTTGTCTCTCCTCTGGACACTCTGAATGATAAAGGAAGTTCTTGCTACAGAAACAACATGTGGAACACAAAAGATAAAATTGGGCTTATACTTTAAACATAGAAATATATGTATTACTGTGTACATAATGATTTTGTCTCATATTTTAATTTACTTACTTTCCACACATTTCTTCTTCCAGAAAGTAAAAGCACTAAATGCTGGCCGTGGCTATCAAAATTAAGATTCCTCATGAGTGTTTGAAAAACATAAATGTTATTTTCTTCACTATCCTTTATACATGGAATGTGTGTGCTTGCAACTAAATTTCCAAATAATTAAAAGATGCAATATTAATATTGCATAATTATAAGTAGAGCCAGTGTATTCAGTTGCTTAGAAATGGTATCTTTGAGTTTACCATTCTCCAGACAACTGCCACCAAATGCATAAAGTTTCACGTTTAGATTGCTTTTTATATCCTTTAAATAAAAAATTATATTAAATACTTCATTTGGTTAGATGACACAAAATATGAAAAAAAAGTCAGAGAGGTACCACGTTATTTGGAGTTTGTTAAAAACGAGTTTCAAAAACTAAAGTAAGCACCGATTTCCAAGTCTGAATTCAACAAACGAGTTTCAAAAACTAAAGTAAGCGCCGATTTCCAAGTCTGAATTCAACAACTTTAATAAAGGTTATTTCTGTAAGAAAACCATCCGGTAGCTCATTAGGAAAATTTAAAAAATGCAAAACATAGACTGTCTACAACTAGTCAACAGGCTAAAGATTTCATTCAGTGTCTATTTTTTTCATATGCTGTCCTCAACCTGTCTGCCTCTTGTGTTTTGTTGCTTTCTACCATCAGTTCAGCATCATGTTTTCAAAAAGGAACAGAGTATATTCCCAAAGGGAAATTCCCTTTGGAATTCCCATATACAACTGGGAGTAGCCAGGTCATTAAGAATCAAAGGATTTCATGTATTTACATGAAGCAAATTCATTAACTCTAAGAAAACCTGTATCTTAAACATTTCTACACAGATACTCTTTTGAGAGCTTTTCAGGGAGGATTTCCTTCAGTAAATTACTCTAACAGAAGCCAAGTATTCTTTTCCATTTAAAAATCTTGATTATTTTTGTTGCTGTTATGCACCCTTAGGATTACATCCTAAGAGTAAAAATGCTTGCAAATTAAAACAATATTCTTCCTGTTGCTTTCTAGAGATTAATTAACTGTTACAGGAAATGACTGCCTGAAGCAAAATCTTGATTCTTAATTATTAACTGTCCTGATACATATGAAACCAAACAACTCTGATAATTTCTTTAACCTTTAAAATCTATTACTTTCATACACAATTATTACTGTGTAATTTCTTAACAAAAGAGAATGTAATTATTCTATTCATCTGTGTTAAGTCATCACTTTATGAAAATAAATCGGTATTACCCTTCAATAAAATTAAAACTAAGGGCCAAACTTTAGGAGATCCAACTTCTTTACTGTTCTCTAGACAAGTTAGGAATGTTTGTCTTAATTTTCTCACTTGTAGGGTAAAAATAAGCACACAATAGTTGAAGTTTTCTTACTTCTTATGACAGTTTATGAGAATTAATCATATTTGTCAGTGACGAATTTTAGCATGTTAGTTGAAATGTGACACACAAAGGTTTATGATTATTCTTAAAAACATAATGCAAACAGCTAGACTTTTCTACATTAGATTTAGTTAAGTATCAAAATAAAGGAAAATAACAGCGTATCTACAAATCTCATTTAAATCAATTGTTTGGAGCACTCTGTCCAGCCTGCAAAAGGAGGAATGGCTTCTGAATGTTAGACACTAAGAAGAATTTAAATGCCATTTCAAATGAATAACTGCAATATAAAGATTTCATTATTACATACTTTAATAATTTAAAATGTGCTATAATTTAGATAATAGGTGTACATCTATAGAAAAAAGGAAATATTTTGCCAACCACGTAAACAGGATCCAAGAGACAGTTAAACCTAAACAAAGAGAGTCCAAGTTAATATTTTTAATAAGTCTAAAAAAATCCACATGTGATTTAGTTTTTATCCCTGGCATTGAATGCAAAAGTAATACAGCATATACTTAATAAATGCATGATGAATAAAGAATGGAATACATGAAGACATAATTATGTGATACATAAAATAAAAGTTTCATCTAGTCACTTAAAAATCCCTTAAAAGAAACATTTTTATAAGCTAGCTCAATTAATTATATCCATATCCGTCTTTTTATTTCTGAACAGCTATATATAATAATGCAAATTTATGAAGTAAATAATGAGGAAAAGTTTTTGTTTTATAATGACTTAATTTTGAAAAAAAAATCTTCAAGTTTATTAGAAAAATCTACATTACTGAACTGAAAATACTGACATAAGATATTCAAACATTTAGAATATTAGTATATTCTAAACATATATTCTAAATACGTGTTCTGTACTTGAAACTAAGAAATATATAAAAGTATATCATTCAAACAAATTCAGAGTACCATTCTTACTACTTAACTGGAATTAATGAGCTTTTACTATAACCATATCATTTATAACTAGAAAATAGTATGTTCAAATTATGTAGCAATAATTAAGAAGAAACATTTTATACTTACGGACAAAGTTCAACTTCTAAATACTGCTCAGTTATACCATTCAAGAAAAATGCTTCCACAACTTTTGAAAACAGAGATATAACATATTGAGAAATTTAATACTGCTTGCCAACAACAAATAATTTGTTTATTCCTTTAGAATATAAAATGAATTAACTATTTTTTATTATAATACTATCCCCATAGGAAAACGTGCAAAGAAAATAGACATTGCCTGGAAGAAGAAATATTAGGAAATAAATCATCAACAATTTTCTCACGTGTCAGATTGCCATATATTGAAAAAATTAATTAAAACTAGTGCTGGTGGCCAGGAGCAGTGACTCATGCCAGTAATCCCAGCACTTTGGGAGGCCAAGGCAGGCGGATCACGGGGTCAAGAGATTGAGACCATTCTGGTCAACATGGTGAAACCTTGTCTCTACCAAAAATACAAAAATTAGCTGGGTGTTGTGGCATGTGCCTGTCTGTAGTCCCAGCTACTTTGGGAGGCTGAGGCAGGAGAATCACTTGAAGCTGGGAGGCAGAGGTTGCAGTGAACCAAGATTGCACCACTGCACTCTAGCCTGGCAACAGTCTGACACCCTGTCTAAAAAAAAAAAAAAAAAAAGAAGACAAAACAAAAAAATTAGTGCTGGTTAGGTTGTAAAGAAATTAACATTATCACATAGACTTTGAACCACTTATCTTCTGGGAATTTATCCTAAGAAAATAATCTGACAACTGGGAGAAGAATTAAGTATAATGCTATTAATTAGAGTACTGTTCAAAAATTAGAAATAATCGAAGTGATTATCCCCTATTATATAAAATTATCTCTTATTCTCTAAATAAATCTCCTATTATACGGGAGAACTGTTAAATCAATTATGGAACTCATATATTCTATGCAATGGAAAACAATGCAGCTAGTAAAATCAAAGATACCATTAAATATTTGTTGATAGAGGAAGATATCCATGATATTCAAGAAGTCAGCTGCAGAATAGCAATCAAAATGTATGTGACATTAAAATTGCATGTATGCCTATGTCTAGATATCTGCAAAATGTGCACAAAAATGTTAATGACTGCTTATCTGTGATTGCAGGAATTTAGGTTGGTGATCTTTCTTTTCTTTTTTATATTCGTGGAAATTTCTGAATATTGCTATTTTTAAAGTCATTTAATTTTGAATATAATACATCTTTCTTATAAATAAAGAAAAAAATAATATATATATATATGAATGAAATAAAAAGTCAATGTCCTTTTCCTTCCCTTTGGTCTAAATCCTGCCAGACTTTTTCTGTGCTTCTACATACTATTGTAATGATTAAATAGTATTATTTTATAGAATGTTATAACTTATTCACTTAATCCTTTATGGATAGACATTTAGGTTGTTTCCAATTTTCCATGTGTTATTTTTATAATAAAATAGCTAAGATATAGATATAGTTCTGTTAGCAATTCAGAGAATATTATTGCCTCTTTCTAAATCTTTTATCTAGACAAATTCAAATGTGTAATATGATAGTTAATTGTATCTGTCAACTTAACTAGGCCATGGTATCCAGATATTTTGTAACACATTATTCTAGTTGTTTCTGTGAAGCCATTTTTTAAGATGAGATTAACATTTAAATCAGTAGACTTTTGGTAGAGCAGATTTCCCTCTATAATGTGGCTGGGACCTATCCAATCAGTTTAAAGCCTTCATAGAAAAAAAGACTGACCTCCCCCAGGAGAGGAATTCTGCCAGCAGACAGCCTTCAGAGTTGAACTGCAACATCAACTCTTCCCTGGGTCTTCAGCAGGCTTGAAGCAGTTCTTCAGTAGGCTGAAGACCCAGAGATGAAGGGACTCTCTAACTCTGTAACCAGCAGAGAGAAGACCCAGGGAAGAGTGGACTTGTTAGCCGCCACAATTGTGTGAGCTAATTTCTTAAAATAGATCTCTCTCTTTCTTTCTCTCCAAAGATATATATATATATATATATATATATATATATATATATATATATAATCTTTGTGTGTGTGTGTGTGTGTGTGTATTATATATGTGTACATATATATCTTTGGAGATATATATATTAGATACATACATATATACATACACATTCTCTCTCTCACTGTACATATGTGTGTATATATTTCCTTCTCTCTCACACACACACAGATGCACATATGTATCTTCTGCTTTCTACTTTCCATCATCACCTTACAAATACTTTTGCAGCTTATCTGTATTAAACACTATATCAGATTCTGGAAATACCTTTATTACTTTACAATCTAATCAGAAACAAATGGAAAATTTTAATAAAAGTTCCAAAATGGAGGATGCATGCATTGCTACAGGAAAAAAGAAAACAGATGTTTAGCTCAAAAAAGGGGTTTAGTGAAGGATTCCTGGAGAAGTTGCTATTTAAGCTCTGTCTTGAAAGATAAGTTGGAACTAGGTGAAGAATGATAGAAACAGCATTCTAGAGCAAGACAACAGTAAAATCAAGGGTACACAATTAGGAAATAATGCAGCTTATTTAAAGATCTATGAACAGTTCAGTCTTACCAGGCAAACATTCCAATGTAGGAGGAACTGGTGGTGCTATAGAGAGAATAAGGGGCCAGGTCATGGAAAATCTTATATAGAGATCACATTAAGAAGAGGAAAACTTACCTTGAGAGGACAAGTATCCTGAGAAGGTTTTTAGGTAGCTGAAGGATGAGTTTAAATTTCCATTTTAGATATATCATTCTGGCTTCTAGTGAACAATGGTCTTAAGGGCAAAAAGACTATTTAGAAGGCTCTGCCCTAAACCAGGTAAAAGATGATGAAAGCCTAATCTTTGGCAAGGATAGTGGAGATGAAGAGGAGATGCTGAGTTAGAGGAATATTTGGGAGGCAAAACTGATGGGACTTAGTAAATAAATCCAAATAATTGAAAGTGTCAAAGAAGGATATCTTAGAAAGATCTAACCAGTTTTAGATTTGGTGATTTAATGTTTTGTTAGTACCATTTATTGACATTGGGCAATTAGGTAAAGAAATGGTTTATGAGAGAAGTGGGTGAGTTGAAGTTAGAATCTGTTGAGTTTTGTGTCTGTAGAACCTCTAGCAGGTAAGTCATATTAGTGTGTATTCCATTAGTAAGATGATATACACCAGTTTTGTATCAATAAAAGGCAAATACATTTAACATACGACAAATTAAAACTGACAAAATGTATGCCTACAAATGACATAGATAACATAGATGTAGTGACTAGAAGACTCAACAAATCTTCTTTGAAAAAATGGGATATGAATTAGATCTTGAACTATGTGTTAGAGGCAGGGGGAATAGAATGAGAAGGTACACAGGTCAAGAGCTTGAATATGGTGGCCCAATTCATAAGCATGTTGAAAGCTTAAAAGAAGGGTTTGAACTTTATTCTAGGGATAGTAACAATTTATGATCTGGGAAATGGCATCAGGAAGAGTATTTCAGAAAGATGATTCTGATAGCTTAATTAGGATACAGAAGGAGATCATAGAGCAAACCTGAACCAGTATAATTTTATGTCGTCTTAATTTGATATGTGAGATGAATTGCCAGTATAAAGTAAAAACTACATTTCGTGTTGAGGTTGATAGTGTTTCTTCAATAAGTAAAGCACTTCAAATCTTCCATAAAGAAGGTTTATGAGGTTAGAGTGGTAATTTAAAGACACTTAAATACAAACAGGAATGCTGAACCCTTCTCAGCATAGGTAACAGAAATAAAGGAAGAAAATATGGCAGCAATAAAAAAATCTGGATTTGTAATTGCCATTTTTTTTTTTACTGTTATATAGTTAAAGTCATGTAGGTAATGGAGAAAAAGTCAGAATGAGAGATTGGTAGGAAATATCAGAAACTGTACACGTCAATTGCTCAGAAACACTTACTTCCCAACAGCAAGATAAAATAACAGTTCTGTGAGAGGTTATTATAAAAAGATTTATGTTTGCAATAAAATACAGTACTTCCACTTACCTTCATAATCCCACAGTTCATTGAAAGGTTTTCCTGGCTCTCCAAGTGGGGCTGGAGGATCATTGAAAAATGGAGCACTAATGTCCATCATCACTCCTCTGTCACCTGGATTCAGCCTGATAAATACTGGCTCATGCTTCACTGGAAAACCATCCCAAGTGTGTTCAATTTTAAAATCCATCTGAAGACTCTAAAAGAAAAAACATATTAAAACAAACTCTTTAACAATATACAAATGTTTTCTTCAGTTGGAAATAAAATGAAAATTTCAATGCCAAACAGCAGACAGGAAGGCAGCAAAGTGGCAAGAGCACAGTCCTAGGAGTCAAAAGGCGATCTTGAGTTGTGCCAAAGCACAGACTCTGAGCTCTAGTCTAAAATAAGTAACTAGTTCCTAGAAGCTTTGAAGTCTAGATTTAGCTCTAGTGCTATTGTAAACAGTGCATCAAAATCATTTTTTAATTGTAATTAAGTCTACTGCAAAAATTATTAATATACTTAACTGCAACTACAAGTACCATGGGTTTCTATGTCATCCTTTGTCTCTTATTTACTGTATGCAGGTTTCTCAGGTAGTGGTTCCTCTGGGAATCAGGATCTTCATAATAAAATTCAACCTCGTTAAAAAAAATCTCCATAAATCAGAAGAAGCAGTGCTGTTAACATCTGTTCTTTTGGCTAAAATCCTTTTCTTCATGGGGGTTAGGGCTGGGGAGTTCCAATCATTTAAAAGTTATTAGAGTTGAATTTTGCCTTCCTTTGTCCCAGCATATACACTTTCCATTTTTAATATTTTAACTGTTAAATCACCGCTTGTTTGATAATTACCTCACTCCAACTGAAAAATGGGAACAGAATCTACCATCATTTAAACTTTGAAATAGACTAAGTACCTACAAAAAAGCAGTTTTTACATTTTACATTAGTTTTCTAAGTATTCAATAGAACATAATATTTCAATGCATCAATAAAATTATATTTTTGAATATTATGGATTGGGCATTTTATAAATATTGTCTCATTTTATTCACTACAAACTTGCAGAGAAACTATTATTGCCTTCATCACAAATGGAACAGATTTGTCTAAGGTCACATGACTAGCATATCTATAGACATTGAACCAGTGTCAGCACTGTTTTCCCAGATGAATACATTTCAGGAATCTGCAAGGAGATGATGATTTTATTTTAGGAGTGGTGGACCCCCCCATATTATACTGGATCCTACTTTTTATCCAAAAGGTAATCTCACTCATTACCTGATGATTTTTCCAAACTGTAACTTCTTTTATCTGAAATCTTTGAATTTATTCCTTTGCTTTATATGTTATTTTTTACTGTAAGTAATTAAGTTACTAAATTGGAATAAATTTAATTCAGTGAATATGTACTGAAAAACTATGATGAGCTAAGCAGTGGGAGATCCAAATATACAAGCTCTGCATAATATAAGAAATCCAAGATCTCTGAAAACTTTTTTCTAAAGCATATAGCTTTTACTAATTTTCACTATATGCTAACAAATCTTACTAAATAATCTCTAAAATTAAACAGTTCTGGTATTATAATCCATTTGTAGAAAGCTAATAGCATTTCAGAAGAAATGTTCAGCAATTATATTCTTCATTACTGATATAAGCTCAATGAGTGATAAGATTATATAAATTGATTCTGATTTAAGTGGAATTGTATGAAAATACCTCAATAATAAATTAATTTTCTTTAGTTGAAACATCAAGGCACATTCTACAAAAAAAATATATATAACCCTCTACCCTAAATTTTGGTAGTAATAAGTATCCTCATGCAGCATACAGGAAAATAAGAATAAATCAGGACATTAGAAATGCTGAATGACTCTAACTCTGACACCAATAGGCTGAGAGAAAATGCTGTTCTCCTAATTTAAAGCTTGATAATTCTTGACAATTCTGGCAATATATCTTTGCTACTAGGAAGTTCTAGCAGATTCACTTATTCTTCATACAACCACCAAATCCACAAAAATTCTGCATACATTATAAGGGATGCCTATCTTAATCAGTAGGTTTCCACTAGGGACTTCTTAATTCCCAGCCCATTCAGGCAATTGCCTCTATGTCTAAATGGAATAAAATCATATCCAGTGATATCCAGTGATATGCTCCTAAAAGTGGCCTGTCACTTTCATGCACACATAGTGGGTCTCATAGTGAGAGTGAGGTATACTTTATAGCAGCTGTGTCCAACCTTTTGGCTTCCCTGTGCCACAATGGGAGAAGATTTGTCTCTCTTGGGCCACCATAAAATTCACTAACACTAACAATAGCTGAGCAAAAAGAAAAGAAAAGAAAAAAAAAAAAAACACAAGAAAATTCATAATGTTTAGGAATTTGTGTTGGGTTGCATTCTAAGCCATCCTGGGCTGCATGTAGCCCATGGGCCTCAGGTTGGACAAGTTGCATAGTTTCAAATTACTTCAAAATGTAATCTTACCTGGAAGTTAAGAAGAAGTAAAAGATAAAAGCAAAGTTTCCACTGTTAAGAATTAGGTAGTGAGTACCTCAAACCATTCTACTGGTTCCTTTTGCTTTCCTCCCTAAGGTTTCTTTAAGAATTATTTGAAAATTACTATCAGCAACAGCAACTGGACTTCCACAAGTAGAGAGTAGCACATGGCTCATCAGTCCAAAGACAGAATATAATTTTGACTTTAATGCATAAAACAACTTTTGTTTCTTATTGCAAAGACAAATTTGTTTTTTTTAAAAAAACTTTATATTGGTTAAAGAACATTCATGTCAATCTAAGTATGCCTAATATTTATAAAAATTAACCTAAAAAGTATCGTCTGTCCTGTTCAATAGTTAACAATCTAGTTTAAAAACAACACCAACTAGAGACAGATGATTCTCCTTAGGTAATCTTCTGAGATTTAACCCCCACAGCCTTTTCATTTCTTTGTATTTGATCATGTGCTCATTAAGCAGAGACAACTTAATTGTCAAAATCCTTCACCTCTTGGGCCAGTGCTCCCCTCCTAGTCATTCTCTATTAACCTGTACACTGCTCTATTTCTATTCTTACATGGCACTTACATGGCATAACGCATTTGTTTATTGACTCCCTGAATCCAGCTAGAATGCCTGTAAGTGAGGCTTACTATTTATTTGTTGTGTGAATAATTATTCTAGTCGCTGGATCTAACATTCTAGATTTTGTACAGGAGAAACCTACTGTGTTCGTGGTATCATCATTTCTTTTAACACTACATATCAGATCAATACAATAGCTAATAACAAAGACAATAAACCCAGAAATTTCCTTTCAATTTAGTTTATCAAGCACTCATCTTGTTTCATGTACCAAACCAGGTGCTGGAAAAATAATATATAATAAATCTACAGGAGTTTGGGATGGTCCCCATTTCCAGTATCAGTTGGTTCACTTTGCAGTCCAATTTAATTCAGTGGGATCCTTATACCAAGGTAAGTTTTAGATGAATCAAAGATTTAAACATAAAAATCAAAATCATATAAAAACAAGAAGAAAAGAATTAAATAAAATCTTATAGTAGTAAGATAGGAGATGAGCTGGACTTGTTTTCTGAGTACCAAGGCCCTGCTGATTAAAACAGAATCTGATCAAAACAGGATGCAGCAAAGAAACTGGCCACAACCAGCTAAAACCAAGATGGCAACAAAAGTGATCTCTAGTTGCCCTCACTGCTCATTACACATTAATTAAAATACATAGCATGCAAAAAAAGAAACTCCCAACACAGGCATGACAGTTTTCAAATGCCATGACAACTCCTAGAATGTGCCACATACAGTTTAAAAAAGGGAAGAAGTCTCAGTTCTGGGAACCCCTCCTACTTTTCTGGAAAACGCATGAATAACCCATCCATTATTTAGCATATAATCAAGGAATTGCCATGTATATAGCTAGCCAACAATTCACGGGAGCTGCTGCTACTACTCTGCCTATGGAGCAGCCATTTTCCTGAACTCTGTTGCTCTGATAAACTTGCTTTTGCTCATGAATTCTTTCCTGCATGAAGTCAAGAGCCCTCCTGGGCTGAGCCCCAATTCTGGGCTTTCCCTGCATTGGTAGAGAAAATCTTTTTTTTTTTTTTTTTCAGACGGAGTTTCACTCGTTACCCAGGCTGGAGCGCAATGGCGTGATCTCGGCTCACCACAACCTCCACCTCCTGGGTTCAGGCAATTCTCCTGCCTCAGCCTCCTGAGTAGCTGGGACTACAGGCACGTGCCACCATGCCCAGCTGATTTTTTTGTATTTTTAGTAGAGATAGGGTTTCACCATGTTGACCAGGATGGTCTCGATCTCTTGACCTCGTGATCCACCCGCCTCAGCCTCCCAAAGTGAGAAAACCTTTTATAATACAAACCAAAACCCAAACATTTGACTACATAAAAATAACAAAACCAACAAGGATGCAGCTGGAGGCTATTATTCTAAGCAAATTAATGCAAGTACAGAAGACCAAATACCACATATTCTCACTTGTAAGTAGAAGCTAAACATTAGGTACTCATGGACATAAACATAGCAACCATAGCCACTGAGGACTACTAGAGGCAGAAGGAAAAGAAGGGGCAAAGGTTGTAAAACTAACTAGTGGGTACTATGCTCACTACCCAGGTGATGAGATCATTCATACTCCAAATCTCAGTATTATAAAATATACTCAAGTAACAAAGATTCACATGTAGCCCCTGTATCTAAAATAAAAGTGGAATTTTTAAAATAATATAATAAAAGCAAAAACCTCCTTCCCAAGTTCCCTTTACCCTAAAAGCCTATCATTAATAAAATTAAAAGACAGTCTGGGAAAAAGTATATTTAATTCATACTTGATGCAAATAACTAATTTCTTTAATGCATAAAGAGCTCCTAGAAATCAATGAGGCAAAGACCAACACTCCAACAGAAAAGTGAGCAAAAGTTATGAACAGCCAGTTCACAGAGAGAAAATGCAAAATGTTTACTTATAACGACAGAAATGCAAACTAAAACTTAGACTGGCAGGATCAGAAAGTCTGATAACATGCTGCATCAATGAGGGCATTGAGAAAAAAATCACATATTGCTCTTGAGGTATAATTGACATAGCTCTGTGAAGAGCAATATATCAATATCTATCAAAATAAAAATGCAAATACCATTTGACAAAAATAATTCTAGTTCTAGGAGTTACTATACCCGCGCATACTCAAAATGACATAAGCATTGAGGATATTTGTTGCAGCATTGTTCAGAATAACAAAATGTTGGAAGCAACTTAAATACCCATCAGTACAGGACTGGTTAAAAAAAAATTATGCTCTATCATGCAATGTAACACGGTAGAACTGCTAAAATGAATGTGGCAGCTCTAAATTAACATCTATTCTAAAATATGCTGTGAAGGGGAAAAAAAGCAAGGTGTATTTATTTAATAAAAAGGAAGCTTATTTGCATACATGCTTGTGATGCATACACTATCTCAGGAAACACCCAAGAAACGAATGGTAACAGTGGTTGCTTCCCTGAAGGGAATTATCTGCCTGCAGATATGGGAAGGAGGAAAGCTTCCTGTCAAGTTCATCATTTTTGAAAAACCTATTTGCATTTTATACTAGGACAGACATGCATTACTATTTTAAGGTACCGGAATAGTTTTAAAATATTTTTTAAAGTCCAATTTAAGGCTGAGTCTCTTAAAAAGAGTATGGTGGCTGCCTCTTCTCCCCTTTGTATTATATATGCTGAATGTTTCGGAAAAGTCATAATGAATATCATCAAGATTATTCTTGCAGTGCAAAATTGTCCTGCAGTGCAATTTTAAGTTTGGCTGTTTAGACTTTAATACACTGTTAATTGTTAATCTGTATGCTTTCGCTTTTAACCTCTATTCTTTAAATTGCTCTTAAAACAAGTTAAACGAAATAAATTTTCAATTATTCTGATTGCTTTATCTTTACCTTGAAAGACCTCCAAAAGGAAACGAAGGAAGAAAAAAAGGAGACCGAACACTGGAGCATTAAGAACCCAGGAAAAGAAAAAATAATTCACAAAGTGCAAAAGAAGTAAGTTATGGAGGTGTTTTCTCAACTTAATGGTCTGCAAGGAAATTTTCCAAATTCCTCTGCTCAACAAAAATTCTTTTCGTTTTTCTATAATAATGATTTCTTTTCAGTTTTCATAACGCCCCGAGGCCCAGCCCATTTATTAGCGAAACGGAGAAATGAGGTCAGCCTGAAGAGTGGGAGTCCGCTCACTCAGCAGGTGACAGCCGAAAAGTAAAATACTTTTGAGTATTTTCCACAGATCAAGCGAAAGACAAGACCTAGCGCCAGCGAAAGGAATGTCAGGGAGAAGAAGTAATAACAAAAGAACACAGACCACGAAGCTTTTCTCAAACACTGGCTTCCTCCTTTTATCCAGGTCACTGGAGAGGGCTCGGCTTTAGGCTCCACCCAGCTGCCTACACGTTCTGTGGGGAGGGGCCTGGAACACTGAAGCAGAGTTAGTTGATTTTTCTAGGAAAGAAAGATGTTGAAGGGCCACAGATGAACATCTTATGACTTCTAATCGTTCCACTAAAGTTTGAGCGGTTTCCTAGAAGAAGCAAGGGTAATCCAGAAATATAAATACTGTCCAATAATTTGAAAATCAACTGTAAATCATTAAGATTACAATAGAACATGTATAGAAATAATTAATTTAACATAACTAAAGGCTAACTGGCTATATAAACAAAAACTATAAATTATATTATACTATACTACTAAATTATATTATACTATACTATATTATACTATACTCCTGGGAGGCATGTTCATAGTGGTTAACAACTATGACAATAGAACCATACTGCCTGGGTTCAAATCTCAACTCAGGCACTTGCCAACTGTGCTATCTATTCTGAGCCTTGCTTAAACTTCTAACTTTGTGTTCTTCATGTTTCTTTGCACACAGTACTGGGTGCTCAGTGTCAATCAACTAAATTAATATTAGTGAAATGTCACTAATTTTCAATCTATACAATTTTAGGGGTTTTCTTTATCGTAGAAAAGTAAAAAAAAAAAAAAACATGAAATAGTGACTTGACAACAGTTAAACACATACTATGTATATTTCTGCTTGTCATTCCTTGTATTCAATTTATACTAATAGATAGTTTCCATACACATCCACTAAATTCTTTCCATCACATATTTAATCAGCTCTTTGTGTTCCAGGTATTATGATGGAGCCTGGAGACAAACTATAAAACATGAGAGAGACTGCTGGAAAAACATGACGTAAGTACTAAGGTGGCACCTACCTTGGGGGATGTGGATAGAGAACTCAGGAGATGTGAAAAGGAGAAACACAAGAGGGGATCCTTTAAGGATAAGTGAAATCATCACAATTTTGTTTCCTAATGATGAAAGTTATTTTGAAAATACTCCATTAAAACTGAACCACTAAAATCTTGTAAAAACAAACACAAAAAACTATCATGATCATGATTATGGTCATGTAAGCTAAAAAATTCAAGTGCAAACATAAAAATATGCACTTCAGATATTCACTTCATGTAAATACCACTCATCAATTATATCCAGAAGGTATTTGCTTCCATCCAGTTTGGGTATAAGTGTAGAGTTAAGTCTATAATTATTTATTTGATGCCAAGTAAAAATACGACGATATACAAGGTTCAAATGTGGGAGAAGTCACAAGCAAGTCCTTGGAGAGTCAGTGAGATATTTATGAAGAAAGAGTCATATACGGAACATCAAAAACGAGTTGGAGCTTGCACATTCAATTTTCCCTAAAAAGTTTTTTTGTAAACGTTATAGCTACTAAAAATCTGAACACGTTCAATTATCATCAACTCTACGCTAAATGAGAGCTTTTCAATGATTATTAAGATACACATCCATATTTAACAGCTGGTCTTTAGAGGAAGTGACCATCTCATTCTATTAACAGTGAGTACTGAGGAAGGTCTTCAGTGCCTAACCAGACATATTTGGACACATTTGTAAAATGTGTTAATACATATCGCTGAGGTTACTTTGTTTATATGACATTATGAGTACAGGACAACAAAACTTCTTAAGCTGTTAAACAGAAAGCCAAATCAAGCTGCATCTATGACACACGTAGCTGTTTGGTGAAACTTTACTTCAATCCATAAAAATACAGTTTATTAAAAAACACAAAACTAGTGGCTAGCTTTAAGTTAACATTTTTGTTGTTACTGGTGAGACTTCCTCCAACGTTAATTTTTTTTTTACAAAAAAAAATACGTTTTAAATCAAGACAAAATCAATTTTTAAAAATGAAAATTGTAATCTATCCACAAATGTAAGTTTTCTTTTTGTTTGTTCGTTTTTGCAAAAAAAAAAAAAAAAAAAAAAGGTACCTTTCTCTTTCCTTATATTTGAGGAGACAAACTTATCTTTGAAGAAATAGCTGCTAATTTGCAAGATCTTTTGAGTACTTCTAACTACACGCTTAACTACTACACAGTTAAATATTTAAACAACAGTTGTCTCCTTTGTCTAAAGACCCACAAAAAGCAGAATGGTATTTACCTTCTTGAGACCACCAAATCCAAATCCAGAAATCCTCCAGAGGTACAGCGTTGGTGGGAGATTCTGAAGACGCCAGTGTGTCTTCCACTCCCAGCCGCAGGAACTTGCATCCTTTACTTAGTCCAGAAGGGCTTAGCACATTAGAAACCCAAAAATAGTGAGGGCAGTTAAACGCTGTGTTTCATGCCTTACTCAGTTTACATTTTGGGAGTTAAAAAAAAAAAAAAAAAAAAGGAAAGAAAGAAGGAAAAAGAAAAAGACCTTGGGCCCTACCACCTAGAGACACGGTCTCACTAGTTTGCCCGCCGCGCCACGCCGGTGGCTCAGCCCGCTGTCATGCAGGTTCTCACGGCTCCTCCCATTGTTTGACAGCCAGCCAATAGCGTGCTTGGACTCGAGGAAGCGCGACAGCGTAAGCGCTGACGCTCGCGTGATGACGCAGACGGCGTCACCGTCTCCAAGGAGTGGTCCGGGGCACCGGTTTCAAAGTCGCAGGGCGGGCCGAGTGGACTTCCGCTGATGGCCTGGGGCTTCCCAGCCGTCGTGGCGTTGTCCCCTCCAACCCCCTCCGCTTCGCGTAGAACGCCGCTCGCAGGCTGCCCTCCAGCCCCCTCGGCCCTCTCCTAGGTGGCGCGACAGGACCCCGAGTGACCCGCGGGACGCCTGTATCGACCGCTTCCTCCTCCCACCAGGGTGGGATTCGGTTGAATGTGGAACGGAATTCAGTGGCGCGTCCCTGGCTGTCTTCTGTGTCTCGCCCGGGCCAGGGACTCGTCGGGTACGCGGGGGAAGGAAGCGTGGCGGGGCTGTAGATGCCGCGTGAGTAGGATGCAGATTGCACCGCTGGAGCGCCTGACAACCAGCCGAGCGCTGGCTTAGTTTTGTTTTCCCGCACGGCGAGCTCTGTGCCTTTCAGAGGAACGTAGAGGTGGTGAAAGCTCCAAACTAAAATTGTATCGAAATGGCCACAGAAATCGACTCTCTGAAAGAGCAAAGTAAGCTCCTTTTTTTTTTTTAAACTTCATATTCATATATAATGTTTAATATCGTCGTCGTTGACTGACAAATCTTTTTTGAATGCTGGTTGGCTCCATTTAAATATGTAAAGATTTAAAGAAGCTAGTTGCCGGAAAAATAAAACTTGATGGTATACGTGAGGATGTGTGTATATTTAAGCAGAACCGTGTAGTAGAACTTGTAGCTTACGCAGAACTCTACTAGACACTAAACAAGTTTGTTGTGCTTCTCTCGTGCTCTGAAGACTAGGAGGCTAATGGCCAGCGAGAGTTTCCAAGTGTGCATTTAAAACCTAGGGACACAGCTCTCTGGCCATTTGTTAGAAAGATGTTTATTGAACTCCTGTTTCTATTATGTACCATACACTATACAAGAACAGCTGCTGCAAAGATGAACAGGACAATTTGTACCTCCAAGAATTTAATTTGGGGAGGGAAACGTATTAATTCCAACATATACTGAAGTGACAGCAACTGCTAGCTCTTTTGCCACAGTCTCATAGGGTTGTTGGAATCATTAAATGAATATTAAAATATGTAAAGGATTTAGAATAGTATCTGATACATTGTGATTAATATAAACTATTAGACAATTATTATTAAATTATGATCAAAGAAGTTGCTCATGGGCTGAAATGTGCAGTACCAATATGAATTTACAATATAAAAACTCTAGGCATCCCAAATAGAACAGTATTTGCGCCACTGGGGGGATTAAGAATATGCTTTGTTAAAAGCTTTTAATAAGGCTGGTTTGAATGGAATATTGATGTAAATTGAATTGGAATATTTATATAGGGAAATGACAAGTGCAGCTGAAGGAGTAGAAAGGGACTGGATGGTGAAGGGCCCTGTCTTCCCTGTGCTAAGGAGTTTGGACCACTGCATAGGTGATAGGAATTCAATTGAGAGTGACATGATCAAATTGTAATTTAGAAGGTCCAGTCTGATTTTTGGGAGGAATATGCCTTACGGCAGAGTGCAATTAGGTGGCTACTGTCATCATTCAGGTAAGAGTTAAACTAAGTTGGGCACAGGAAGATTGGAGATCAGGGAATTTGAGAGAAAGAGGTAGAGGGCAGCTTAGTTTTTGCTTGAGCAACAGGGAAGTTAGGAAAAAGGTAAGTTCCTTTTTGATAGCGTTATAGACCAGTGGTTAAGAACTCAGTCACTGAATGTAGTCTGTCTGGGCTCACAGCCTACCTCTTTCCAGGTCTGTGACCTTTAGTAAGTTTCCTAGCTTTTTTGCACCTCAGTTTTCTCATTTGTAAAATGAATGTAAGAACATAAAAATCCCCTTGAAGTTGTGAGACTTAAATGAGGTGATGAAAATAAAGCATTTAACATAGTGTCTGGCACATATTAAGTGCATGTTATATGTTATCTAAACTAATTAATGGCACTGTAATGACAGAGTAACGTTAGCATGATTTCTTAGGTTTGCAGTGGGAATATCCCCATCCCATAAGAACAGCTAACTGGCCACCATCAGAGTGGTATAGGACAGGAATTGGTTGGTGAGGAGTTTCGCTAGAGTGAGGAGAGTACTTGAGGCAGTCAGAAAGTGAATTTTATAAGAATGATCCAGCCAGAATTCTTAGATAAAATTGAGATCCAAATACCAGGGGGAAACAAGACAGTTAAAGCATAGTAATATTTTTTGGAAAAGGAGTGGTATTTAATAGTTCCACAGAAGACAAGAGGAGTGCAAGAAGGAAATCTTAAGCAGACGAAGCAGAAAATGGAATGGTTCAAAGGCTTGAAATAACTGGTTTTATTCAGGAAATTGGAGCCTGGAATGGTACAGTTTACCTAAAGAAATAAGAATGAGAGTTGAGTGTCTGTGTCCCTCTCCTTTTTTCTTTAACAGGATTTTGC